GACCCACCAGGTGACCCGTTGGTGTTGCTAAGGTCAAGCTGTGATGACCTGACCCACCAGGTGACCCGTTGGTGTTACTAAGGTCAAGCTGTGATGACCTGACCCACCAGGTGACCCGTTGGTGTTGCTAAGGTCAAGCTGTGATGACCTGACCCACCAGGTGACCCGTTGGTGTTACTAAGGTCAAGCTGTGATGACCTGACCCACCAGGTGACCCGTTGGTGTTGCTAAGGTCAAGCTGTGATGACCTGACCCACCAGGTGACCCGTTGGTGTTACTAAGGTCAAGCTGTGATGACCTGACCCACCAGGTGACCCGTTGGTGTTGCTAAGGTCAAGCTGTGATGACCTGACCCACCAGGTGACCCGTTGGTGTTACTAAGGTCAAGCTGTGATGACCTGACCCACCAGGTGACCCGTTGGTGTTGCTAAGGTCAAGCTGTGATGACCTGACCCACCAGGTGACCCGTTGGTGTTACTAAGGTCAAGCTGTGATGACCTGACCCACCAGGTGACCCGTTGGTGTTGCTAAGGTCAAGCTGTGATGACCTGACCCACCAGGTGACCCGTTGGTGTTACTAAGGTCAAGCTGTGATGACCTGACCCACCAGGTGAACCCAAACACCAGAGATGGTGTTTGGTTTTTACAACTACTCTGGCAACGAGTGAATGATTGGTTGTCTGAACCAGAGTGGTTCATTCAACCACTCTGGGGCCAGATTTACGAAGCAATTACGCAAGCACTTATGAACGTGTCCATCTTTCCTCAATCTTTGACGGCTTTGGTTACATTTATTAAACAGTTTACAAGCATGAAAACTTGCCAATCAACTGTTGTTATTGTTATAAACAGCCTCCTGGTGCTTCGGAGCTCATTAACTGTTGAATAATTGTAAACAAAGCCGCCAAAGATTGAGAAAAGATGGACAGGTTCGTAAGTGCTTGCGTAACTGCTTCGTGAATCTGGCCCCAGATCACGACGGGTTGTATACGTGTTTTCCCTCTCATAAAAGTTTCTGTTTCTGTCCATGTTGGTGCCTCTGTCACACTCTCCATTGCACACTATGTACAGCTTCCAGGTCTCTACACCTTTCAAGACAGATCAACACAGTGAAGGATGAACCATCTTGAGGTTATCTTGAGATGATTTCGGTTTAGTGTCCCCGCGGCCCGGTCCTCGACCAGGCCTCCACCCCCAGGAAGCAGCCCATGACAGCTGACTAACACCCAGGTACCTATTTTACTGCTAGGTAACAGGGGCATAGGGTGAAAGAAACTCATTGTTTCTCGCCGGCGCCCGGGATCGAACCCGGGACCATAGGATCACAAGTCCAGTGTGCTGTCCGCTCGGCCGACCACTAGCAACCATAGTTGCTAGTGGTAGAACACTTCTACCACTTCTACCACAGGACGGACACAAGAGGCTCATAAACCATCAAACTCACACTCCGATGTTAGATTGATGACATCAATCATCACTGATGCTAACAAACTGTGTAACTAGCTCATCAAGATTGACACTTACTTAACAAAACGAATTTTGGAGCTCAATTCCTGTGCCCAATATGTGCCTCCGTCACCATTTCCACTGCCGCCCAGGGATAATAGGTTAGATATGAAGGCCACTGCCACACACTGGATGGGGATAGGGGTCCACTACCACCCACAGGATGGCTATGAGAGTCCACTACCGCCCACAGGATGGCTATGAGAGTCCACTACCGCCCACAGGATGGCTATGGGGTCCACTACCGCCCACAGGATGGCTATGAGAGTCCACTACCGCCCACAGGATGGCTATGAGAGTCCACTACCGCCCACAGGATGGCTATGGGGTCCACTACCGCCCACAGGATGGCTATGAGAGTCCACTACCGCCCACAGGATGGCTATGATAGTCCACTACCGCCCACAGGATGGCTATGGGGTCCACTACCACCCACAGGATGGCTATGAGAGTCCACTACCGCCCACAGGATGGCTATGAGAGTCCACTACCGCCCGCAGGATGGCTATGGGGTCCACTACCACCCACAGGATGGCTATGGGGTCCACTACCACCCACAGGGTGGCTATGGGGTCCACTATCACCCACAGGAATAGTATGGGGTCCACTACCACCCACAGGATGGCTATGAGGGTTTACTACCACCCACAGGATGGCTATGAGGGTCCACTACCACCCACAGGATGGCTATGGGGTCCACTACCACCCACAGGATGGCTATGGGGTCCACTACCACCCACAGGATGGCTATGAGGGTCCACTACCACCCACAGGATGGCTATGGGGTCCACTACCATCCACAGGATGGCTATGAGGGTCCACTACCACCCACAGGATGGGTATACAAGTCTAACCACTTGTAGTCATGCTGGTAGTATTACGTACCGAGATAGAAGCGAGTCAAACTACCAGTAGTCGTACTCCTACTAGTAGTAGTTAGTAGTAGACCAGCTTGACAAGCTCCGATACTTACCGGAAGTTGATACTCTGGATG